ATACATAGGTGGCTTGATCGTGTGTATCTATAGAGCCTAGGAGAAATCCACCTCCATGAAAGTGTATTATCGTGGGCATTTTGTCGACATTGGCCAACTCTTCGGGTTCATACATTCGAACAGTAACGTTCAATATTCGTGTGTCATAGACCTGTTAGCCAGAGCGAAAGAGAATTAGAAGGATAATCAGAAAGAGTGACAATGTACCTTGAGACGATGAAGAGGATCACGTATTTGAAAGCATCCTGTACCGAAATAGTGGAGCTGGCGTATGATGTGAACGCGATCGAACCAATTGAATCGTTCGCCTAAGGAGCCCTGTTGATAAATACAAATAGAAAATAACATGAAATTCCTCTCCTAAAACATCGTATTTGTCACGGATTTGCAGAGCGAAAAGTTTCGGCGAGTCTAAAAGAAAAGTTTTCGAAACTAGCTCGAGTCAAGAGAAATTCTAAAATGAATGCACTCCTCAGTCTTGCTTCAATGTTTGCAGATTCAAACCGCTTGATTTCATGCGAACATGAAAACGGTACAGGACAACCGTCTCCAGTTTTTCAACAAGCAATAACTTTGACTTGAAGAAAGCAGATTTTCTTGATAAGTCTTCTCAGGAAAGTCATTTTCAGAATGGAGTGTTCGCAATCGAACGAAAAGACACTGAGAATTAACATACGATTTTTACGAATACGTGCGCCCAAAATGAGATAAAACGATATTTCCATGGTTGAGGAAAATCTTGAGGCAACGGTTGATAGATGAGAGCGACAGATAACACGGCCAAACTGAGTGTGATCAGAAGACGTCGCCGAGACAATGATTTTATCGGAACAGCACAGGACGAAGAGTTGAGTTGAGTTGCAGATCCCATGGACGTGTGTACGATGGACTTCATATAATACGACTGACGCCTTGGGCAAGCCGTACTCTCGACATGCACTCACCTCACCATGCACGCACCTGATGATGCCTCCGATTAGTCACTCCGTTCTTCTCACAATTGAAAAAAGAGAAAGAGAACAGCAAACAGTTGATAAGAGCAGACAACATTCCAATGTGACATCGATTCATATAGAAAGAAAACAGAGAGGCATTAATGCAAAGGAGCAACGGCATATTCTGTGTATCACGGATATGGTGGGTAATCTACGGAGATTTAAGATCCGTTGCTTAATATTCATTGTTCCCGATCTGGATCCATTAGAATGAACTTTCACAGATTTTTACATTTTTTCAATTTGTGAATGGAGGATGAAGCCTTGTGTTGATACTAATCGAGTATATGAAGAGTGTTGTGGGAAGGAAAGACAGATGAATGGATGTTTGATGGATGACCGCGTCAGGTACGTCCGTGAAAAGAGCACTTTGATACCTACCACTCCGACGTCCATTATTTCTGTGCATGATCGGAGAGCGTGAACTACCCCTAAAGTGTGTCAGTGCTCTCACTCACACTCGGACGGATATCTGAGGAACATCTGATAGTCAGCTTTCGACTGACTGATTTCTTATGAGTCTCACAACAAGCTTCAACTCTCTGTGAGACACTTCTGTTCGTTAATTAACAGAAAAATGGCAGACTCATCTCGAATCCTTTCAGGAAACTGCTCTTTTATTCTAGAAAACGCTTCTCGTCAAGCATGACGAATTTTGACACAGTGCGTCGTACAAGTGGCGTCACGTGACAACACTTTCATTCGTTAACTTTGGTTCACCTTGATTCAATTCGAATTTCTGGAATATCGAAGATCATGTTTCTGATTCACCGATTTCGACATGGAATTACTTCGATCTGCTATGTTATTCTTTTGATTGTCAAAAGACAAGGGTATTGCTGGGCACCACCAAGTTTATTCTTCAATAAGCGTTTATGCAATGCCAGTTCTCGGCGCTTTTACGTAGTATTCAGAGACACCGTAATAGAGCGACGATAGTGAACAGATCTACCAAGAAAAACGTGTTCGCATTCGAGCAAGAGGAAGTGTAACGATTTCGAATTACCCAAAGTGCTCGTTTCACAGATGGGACATTCCATCGTCCGAACGTGTTTCTACAAGCACGTCTGCAGAATTGAAATCACTGTATTGCCTTTCGTCAACCCAGGAAGAGTTACCAAGTAAGTGTCTGGTATCATTAAGAACACGCGTTCGTAGATTTTCTCTGAATTCTGACAATGACAAACCTTCTGATAAAGATCTTTCCACTGAAAACAAGTCTTCTTAATTGACTCTTTCGGATAGATAGAACATGGTACGCGAAGTTTCGGACCGTAAGAAACCTCGGATGATATCCTGGAATAAGGGATAAAGCTGAACATTTTTTCACTTCTCGTTTACTCACAGATTCTGTACGTCGTCAATATCGATACGCGGTACCAGACGCAAAGATCCGGTGGCAATGTGATACACAATGGTCCACGATCTCAGTCGTTCCTCTTTCGATATGTTCAAGTTGTTTTCTTTCAACCAGGTCAATTCATGATAGGGAAAAAGCTCGACGAAACGAATTCACAGGCAAAATCGATTTTGTCCGCACTAGGAATGTAAAATTATACGCGGAATCGATTGAAATCCACCGATCGACTCCGGACTTAAAAGAATCCAATCGATCATCGATTGACTTCGAACATCGACTTTACTCGAATCGGTAACACGTCGACATTGTTCATCGTCGACTGATAGTCGATAGGATAGACGTAGCCAACTGATCGAAGCAAACGAATGTTGATGAATGATATAAACGCATCGATCGAACACCGCGATAATCATCGGTTTGTAGAAGAGTAGAACATTGCCACGAGCACGAGTCAGTTCCGAGAACAGTGCCAAATACCAAGTGCCAATAGATGGAAGATAATATCCTCATAAAATGCCTAAAAGGGTTTGGGCCGTTATTACTTCTCCAAAAGTTATAAACTTTTACATTGATGCTACTTCAACATCTCGGCTTGTGTTTGGTGTATATCTGTTGTAGGCAAACTTAGAATACTGAGTTTCACCAAGTCAGGTAAAACTGGAATTAAAATGGAAAAAGTAGTGATCATAACTAGTAAAGTCATAAAACTAATGGCGTGGGTTAAAATCATGCTCTTCGTTTCTCCTGCTTGGTAATGAGCCATATTCAACCGCTGGAAAACATTATACATCAAACTGTATCATTTGATATGAACTGCATATAAAGGCTCTTTTGCTGAACAGGATACTTATCCACTTCACCGCGTAAAGGTGGCATGATTATCGAAGTAGTAGGTTTTTTTTGGTTTTTTTGGTATGTTTTATAGAATTATAGATTCAGTAACGTTCATAATATTTAGTATTTACAAAAAGCCTACTTATTCATAACCGACGAAAGCAAATCAGTATATTTACAATTAATTTTTGTTCAACGTATATCTATTACACTATGTACACCTTTCAAAACACATAACATTATTCTCCCATATTCTTGCAGGCTCCTTTTTTTGAGTGACATTTTGTCGAACACGATATATTAGCTTTTCTACATGGAAAATATTTGGTAGCACATTTTGATTTACAATCACATGTGCTCCCACTCACTGCTCCACGTACATAAAGTTTGCATGCTTCTATAAACGAAATATTCTTTAATTCCTTAACGTCAAGTTGTTTTAATTCTTGTGGACAAGCTGATTTTAAATCAACAAGATTTTCAATTGAGAATGCATTCTGTAGTTTACCGAATTGACAAACTAATTTGAAAACAACATTATCGTTTTTTTCAAGAATTAAACAAGGTAAAAGTTTTGCGTCTGTATTTGTACGATCAACGGTATGAATTTGAACGCCAACACAATCGAACTTACTGACTTACATCAAACTTTTCTGTTAAATTATTAAAATAATCGGGATGTAATTTAATCTATTTATTTGCGGTGTTTAAGTAATTATCGGTAGCAGTTTTACGTATAAGATCATGACGTGATGTAGTAGAAGATGCTTGTGTTAAAGGAGAATCCTGACCCGAAGAAGTAGTGATTGATTGAGAAGCTGGAGTATCTGTATTCGACCATGAAAGAAAACTTGATGACGTAATTTCATTTAAAATACTTATTGCTGATTGTGCTTGAGGCTCAGATACAGTTAAAGATGATGATGCAAAATCCGTATTAGAACATTTTAAAAGCGAATCAGCATCTTGAAGACAATTGAGTAAATTATTTGTATTTATATTTGAATTATATTCACTATTAGAATCAATGGTATCTTTTTCTGGTGAATCAAAAGAAATAAGATCGTTTGTGAATGAATTATTTATAACAGATGCAGAAGCAAAATCTGCCATATTATAATTTAGTGGCAACAGATTAGTTATAGAATTAGGAACAACATCGTCCGTTAACTTTTCAATAAGTGGAATTACGTCGCTATCAACAAGATCAACTGTATCATCTTTTTTATCAACAACTGTATCGTCCATATTATCGACTGGTGTTGGTAAATCATCCTCATCAACAATGTTATTTCGATCGACAAGTCTCCAAAATTCAGAATTCAAGCGAGATGACTGACCAAACATGACTTCATACGGTGTTTTTTTTGTAGTACTTGAGACTCTTGTATTAATTCCGTATACTACAGGTACAAGACCTTCTGACCAATGACTGGTGTTGTTTGCTGTTAGCCATTTTCCAAGAGCGTCACAAAGTACACCATTTGCTCGTTCGATACAACCTTGACTTTGAGGATGGCGAAGGCGTCCTCGTATAAAACACAGATCTGGAAACAACTCTTTTAATTCAATTATAAAGCTTGCAACAAACTCCTTTCCATTATCACTATGAAGCAATCGTGGTGGACCAAAAACAAAAAATAACTCTCTTAATTTAACAGCAACGTCAACAGCCGATTTACTTTTCAACGGGAAAGCCCAACAAAATTTACTAAAGTGATCGATACAATTCAAAATCCAATTAAAAACAACATCTGATGCAATTTTATCTGGTCTAGTACGCATATCAACTAAATCGATCTGTAGCCTTGTCATGACACCTAAAGATATTATTGGTTTCGAGACGATGTGTTGCTTGATTGGTTTTCTAACTTGACAAGGCGTATAATGTTTTAAAAAAATTTCGATAGCTGCACGAGGAACCCACGAATATTGAGAATTTACTTCAGAAAGAGTTTTATCACGACCTCCATGAGAAATCGCGACATGACATTCACTGATTACATTGAAAAAAGATTCATAAATACACACAGGTTTTTTTGTTTTTACACAATATGCAATATCAATACCCACTATTTTAACAACAAAAAGTTTTGTTTCACCCAAAAAACAAATTTTGGAGAAAATAAATCAGATGTCTTACCTTTTTCTAATAATAATGCTTTCATAATATCTTCACATACTTCGTTTTTTATTACGCTTTTTTCTCGAAATTTCACACTTAATGAATCAATTATCAAGATCATTATAAAAAAGTTTTTCACTAGTATTAGGTTGAATCATTGTTGTTGTCGTATTAGACGCTGTCATTTTTATCATATAGAACAAGTAGTATGATCGCAATTGGCTGACACGTTGTATTTATACTATTAGTAGGCAATGGTCAAATGTACCTAGATCGTCTTTTTCTTTCTCTTCCTTACTGGTTATTCAGTTCACAAGTGTACATGTATCAAGTAGATGATAGATTCTTGGTACTTGTATTCTAGTATTTCTATTTCAATATGCGAAATAAGACCATCGTTATGAAAAAGAAGGTCATTCACTGACAGCAAAATAAAACTAGTTGGAAAAAATGAAGCACCAAAGTGACGGGCACAATGAGGGAGGATCCTAACCGGTAAAAAGAATGATAAAAGATTAATAAATCGGATGATTTTAGCATTAATTTTATGACTTTACTAGTTATGATCGCTATTTTTTCCATTTTAACTCCAATTTTGCCTAAATTCTAATTTTACCTGAATTCTAATTTTGCCTGACTTAGCCAAACTTAGAATTCTAATTTTGCCCAGTCAAACTTGGAATTCTAATTTTGCATAGGCAAATTCGGAATTTACCTGAATTCTAAGTTTGCCTACAACATATCTATTTTATAATATATTATCATGTGAGTGCTTGTTTTTCCGTGAATAAAAAAAGAAAGGTATAAGAAGCGTTTTTCTTTTTCTCGATTCTTTACCAACTTATCGTAGCAATAACATCATGACACACAGCGTTTTGAAAATTTTACAGAATTTAATTTCTGAACGTTTAGCATCAAATACAACACCAGACACAAGCCGAGATGTTGAAGTAGTATCATCTGTTGAAACCTCGTGGGACGAACAAGAGCTGAAATAATAAAAATGATTGTCTGATAATATAATTGTGAAACTTGTAGTTGCGCAGGAAGCTTCTTCTTTCAAGCTGATCATGAGATACAAAAAGAATTCGAAGAATTTATAAGTAAATTTAAAGAAAAGTCTAACATCAATATTTTGTACTTCTAAACGTGAGACCTTATTCGATAGAAGACGAGTGTTAAAAGTTTGATTTTAATGGGAGCCGGTTGCTTTTGGAATTTTGCGAAAGATGCAAAATTCTGATAGGATTTGGCCAATTTCTGCAGGTTTTGGCAAAATTCTGCGAATACTGTGACAGTTGTGAGAATATATTATCATGTGAGTGCTTCTTTTTTTCAAGAATAAGACAGAAGCGTCTTCTTTTTCTTATTTATTACCATCTTATCGTAGGGATAACATCATGACACACAACGTTTTGAAAATTTTACAGAGTTTTTGAACGTTTAGCATCAAATACAACGCCAGACACAAACCGAGATGTTGAAGTAGCATCAATGTAAAATTCTATAACTTTTGAAGAAGTAATAAAGACACAAGCCCTTTTATTTTTATAATGGTATTATCCTCTATCTATCGACAAAAGATGACTGAAATCGAAGTTTTCTCGTGAGTAAGATGGTACAACTCAGAAAACGCTTTTTGCGTTATGCCCTTCAAATCACAAAAATAACTTGGTGTAGATGCTAGTTCAGCATAAAGACCGGTATTTCTCGTTCTGAATGTTCTAACAGTATCGAAAGACGATATCTTGTAAAACATTTCAATGAAGGAGCAACCCGAGGCAACTGTACTACTAATTTTGTTAATTGCCGAAAATAAATCATCTGTAGAAACCTCATAAGGCGATCAAGAGCTGAAACAATAAAAATGATTGTCTGATAATATAATTGTGAAACTTGTAGTTGCACAGGACGCTTCTTCTTTCAAGCTGATCATGAAATACAAAAAGAATTCAAAGAATTCATAAGTAAATTCTAATAGAATACGAGTGTTAAAATTGATTTTAATGGAAGCCGGTTGCTTTTACGTCAGTATAAGAAAATTAAAGAAGCGAAACAATTACTTTCAATTTCAATCTAATTGTTGTATTTTTATTTTCTTCTCGATTTCAAGTTCGAAAAAAAACCCAGTAACTCACATTTCAAGTAAAAATGTAGAACAAAAATTAAATTATTTTTTGGAAATGTTAATATCGTATTATTGAATATGAAATGGTTTTTTGTTTTGTTCTAGTTTAAGCTATTATTTTTGAATAAAGGTAAGTTTTTTTTTTGTTTTTTGACATGACTAATGGTGAGAGATTAATAATACATTTGAACTGGTGGTAAACGACTCATCCACTTTTCTAGTTCATCAATAATCGTTAATTCATTTATGAGCCATGGTTTGCTTTTATAGCAATCATATCCATGTCTCAATAATATAGCACAAGTCGTTGACGTTGAAAAGATTTGATTAAAAGATGGACCCGTAATTAACGATGGTTTAAGATTCAATTCTTCATCGTCGTCACCACATTCTGAACGTCGATATGGTAATATAATGACAACACCATTTTCAATTAGATCGTTTACATGCGTTAAAGGTACAAGAATTTTCACACATATACCACATAATGAATACAATTGATCCATTATCATATCTTTACTATTATATTGTTGTAGTATATTATAGGCTGTTTCTAAATTACCAATACACATGTAAGCAGTTGCTAATAGTATATAGGAATTTGATTTAGACTGATTACGTTCGTCTTTACAGATTTTCTCGAAATCATCAATGTATTTTTCTGCATCATTCCATCTATTAACCATTCTATAAGATTGAAACAGTGTATAGTAAGCAATGACTATTGGATTAAATATCATATCTTCTTTGTGTAGTTTAATACGTAGATATGTTACAATTGGACAAGTAACGTCAGTTTTTGAATAGAATAAACTATTTGAAAGATGTTCATCAGTTATTTGTACATTTATAACAGATAACATAACATCAATTGCTTCTATATATTTTCCAAATAAAAAATAATATGAGTAGCCAAATTCTGTTCTTGTTGTTATTGAATCAGGTCGTAATTTTAATGACGCATTAAAAAATATATTTGCATGTTCAAATGAGATATTTATATTTTGTTTTAAATTATGTATATGATCACAAGAAAGATTAACACTTACTGGATCATTTTTATCTACGGCAAATAAAAGACGTTTCAATTCACATGTTGAAAGACATTTATGACACGCACAATTGTGAAACGCGGTGGACAATAGATCATTTTTTAAACCAAATAAACATAAACGATCGATTATTGTTTGAATATCATTTTTATAAAGTAGTACAATTGAAACGGTTTCAAGCATAATCTCGATTATTTCTCCTAAACGAAATTGATGGACAGGTAACCAAAAGTAATCATCTGAATTATTCGGATTGCCATTTTTCTTCAGAACTGGTAGATCAATAATATCATCTGCACTGTCATCAACTACCGTCGGATGTTGTTGGGTAATTTCCATACTATTATCGCATTCTACAAGAGAAAGACAGTTTCATAAAGTTTTAGTCCATAGTGAACAATTTTGACTAGGCACGTGGACATGTGCCATAAAAGTGATACTAAAGCCCCTAAAGGCTACTTTTATAGGTTTTCGTAAGTGCTCTTTCTAGTGGTGTGATTTTCAAGTTCAAAGATGTTTTTATCAGGATTTTTTAGAGAGCCCGACCTTTGTAAAATCCCACTAAAAGTGCTTTCGAACTTTATAAATTACACCATTAGAAAGAGAGCATACGAAAACTTACGCAAATAGTTTTTTGTAGGCTTTCAAACTGCTTCTAAATCAAAAATCCTAGTGCCTCGGTAAAATTGCTGCCAGAATGCTGCAAATCTCTCATTTCATTAAATAGAACAATTACTTGCGTAATAAAAGATACAACTCACATATCATTCGATGCAGTTCTATGCGCTGATTCTAAATATGACATTAGTCTCTTTTATGAAAGTGCTTTTGGGTGTGAAGATGGATTTTACCGGAAAACGAAGGTAACCCAGACTAGACTCATTTATGCATCTTTATGCACGCTAACTGAGGGTGACGGTGAGGGGCGGGGGTGATTTTTGCATCACTTTTCCAACCAGGATCTAACCCCTTTATAGAAATATTATTGTATGATAGTAGTAAAAGATGACTTTCTTTGAAACACTTCGATATTAAACATTTATTTAGGACATGACCTGTGTCGTTACAAAAAGACAAGAAGCAGCTTTTTTATAAAATGCTAAAAGCTCAAACGGCTTCAGTCTTCTGTTTTTATTAGTCAAAAAAAACAACTGACAAGGGAACGTTTCTAAGTGCCCCCTCGCTTTTTCAACGAAACCTAGTGAGTTATAGGTTATCGATGATGCTGATCTGAAATATGAATATGAAGGCTGCCATTAGGGCTTCGAAGATCCGTTTTTCTGGAAAACCAGTTTTTCAAAAACTCTGAAAAATAACCAAAACTTTTCTTAATAAGTCATGCTTGCAGTCCTCATATTCATATTCGGGATCAGCATCATCGATAACCTATAATCTACTAGGTTTCGCTAAAAAAGCCAGGGGGCACTTAAAAACGTTCCCGCGTGAGTCTGTTGTTGTTTTTTTTTATAGCAGTGCGTCGCTTACCTTGGCAGTCTGAATCACTTGACGACTGTTCGTTATCAAGGATATTACTATATTCATTACTATCGTTACTTAAGATATTGAACACTAATGTTATTGGCTCTAAAACATTATTATACAACCAATTTTCATTAATTGTTGTATTTCGCTCAAATTCAATGTTCTGTTCAAAATATTCTGGTAATTGTTTAACTAATGACTTTGTAAATGTCATAGATAACCACATAAATAGTAAATTTTCGACCGTTGAACACCATTCACTTGTGGATGGAAAATGTTTTATTGATAGATGAACAAGTTTCTCAAAATATATTAATCTCATTGAGTCTTCGATAACTGATGCAAATTTAAATAATGACTTGAAATACCAATTCAATATTGTATGTTTTGAATAAAAACCATTAGACATTAAGTGTAAATCATTTGGAACAGGAACATCTAAGATATTTGCAAATTGTTTAAAATTTTTCTCCATAGTAATCATCATCACAATTGGTTTCTTAATAAATAATTCTAATTGTACTATAAGATGTTGACAATTTTTATCTGATACAAATTCCAACATATTGAGTTTTGATAAAAAGTAATTAGGCATCGTGTGAGTTTTCAATATATTTGATAAAGCTTGAATCATTTCGAGTAGAAGTGATATTTGATCTTTTGTACTAAACGTAGAATTGTGCTTTTCCAAATAAGTGAAAAAAAATGTTTTAATATGATGGGATGACAATACGCCTGAAAAATAGAAACCTGTTAAGGAAAAATTATATTCTTGTTTTAGATATGTTTTACTTACCGGGGGCTAACTCTTGTACAATAGCATTTAAAAGAGTGTAGCATTTCTTTTGCTTGTCTTGAAATGAATTTGTCAAAAGAAGTTCGGGAAAACTCAATGATAAACGCCACATCAAATTATCGTTTCCTATTCGTTTCGGTACTAAATGACACGATGATTTAGAAATAACTTCTACAATATCAATCGATGGCCATTGTTTAGAACGCTCTTGCCAATCATAGCGGATATCATAGGGAATATGTGCCATATTCCATGAAAATACATAATCACATAATGCAGGTGTTCCGTCTTTCGGTGTGGCTGAAATTGCTGGTCCATGCAGTTCACAAAGTATTGGTCCTTGATCATCATACTTTGAGAATTCTATGTGTATAATATCGGTTAATTTCTTGCTTGAAATATAACGTTTCCCATTATGTTCTTCTAAAACTTCGGAGAGTAGTGGAAATTTACATTTCTCATTGTATTCAATATAGTAAAAACCGGAAAATGGACATGGGCGAGCATATCCAATTTGAGATGATGATTCAGTATCCAAATCTGATATGAATACTTCTTTTGGCTCGAACATAATATCTGTATCTCCCGTAACCATGGACATTTCTGTCAAAAAAAGACGAAACGCAAAAGTTAATGCATAGTATTATTTTTCTACATAGGGATGAAGCAACGATCACAATTCGTTTGTGACGAATGAATGTACATGTAAAGCGTTGTATAGTTTCAGTTAATAGTAGGCAAAAATTTTATTTATTCAGAGTGGACATCACATTGGCTAATAGAAATCGCCAATATCTTTTAAAAAATCATTTTGAAATCTAATCAAAATCTTTTCGAAGGATAACTTAATTTGTCTTACCATCATCAACGGCTTTCACATAGTACTGTTCAACGAGACCAGTCAAGCGGCTACCACTTAGTTTTGCTACAAATCCATTAGACCATTGTAATGCATCAGAAAATATTTCTCTCGCATGTATGGTGTTTGAGTGCAACGAACAAATATCTTGATTAACAAATCGTAATAAACAATAATCAAAAAGAATTGTTAAAAATTCAGTTTCATTTAATTGTTCATTTTCATCAAAAACTGTTTTTTCTGAAATATAGTTAAATAACGAATGCTTTTCTGAGAAAGAAATGTCACTCATTTTTATCCTGTTTATTTAACATGTATTCAAAAAAGAGTAAACATGGAAATTTAATCAAATTTTTTTTCGAGTATAATGTGAGTGTAGAACATAAATCGCTGTTTTTTTTAAGGTAAACGTATCAAACTGTAGAGAGAAGTGAAAGAATGAGAAAAGAAAACGATACATATTTGTTCGTAAAAAATGGTAAGTGTTTATACAATATGCTTGGAGTACCTTAATATAACCTATAAAAAATATTTTTCTTTGTCCAATAAATAGGACAGAACCGGGTGACATTTCTTACTCAGAAATGTATTCGTTATTTAACTATGATTCAGAAAAAAAACAGTTTTTGATGAAAATGAATCATTAAATAAGCTATTTCAACCTTTCACATAGAAGTGAAACTGCCTATTCCAAAATCCAGAAAGCGCTAACTTTGAACCTTGCTGTATCAATGCATGATACACGGTTTTGAGGATTCTCCACAGCTATCGAGTGGAAAATTTTGAAAAATCATGCCGTTTCTTTGCAACATAGTCGGATGAGAAAAGGTAGAGGTAGTCTTGATCCATTGGACTCTTTCGAATACAATTCTGGTGAGTGTCAGATTAAACTCCATTAAACTTGGCGACACTGCATTTCTACTTTTCTTTCTAATTTAAACTACCAATTCATGATAATTTTCTTCACGTGACCCAACTGGCACTAGACATCGGTGGTATATGGTGGCGTCATTCACTGAAATTTCTTCCGATACTGATGGATCTATTACAATTCAATGAAATCTGGTTGTTCGGTTCTGGTCGGGGGGGGGGTGCCCCCCCCCCCCCGCGGGGGGTGTTGTTGTGTTTTTGGGAAGGTGGGGGTTGTTTTGGGGGGTGTGTTTT